AGACAGTATATATACAGATATATAACATACAGATTGTTTTCTTTTTAGATTTCACTGCTAAATTGCTTCCAAAACTTGCAAAGGAAGTAAAAGTTGGACAGATACAAAATGTAGCTTTACCGCCACCAAATACAGTACAAATACAGGCTATAAGAACAGCACTTACCAGTTCATTTACAGTTATACAGGGACCGCCAGGTATGCAACTAGACTTATTTAGGTCCACACTCACTCTCAGCAAGAAGTGTGGACATCCCTTCCTGAATTTGACATGTTCTGTTCATTTTAAAAGATTATGCTTTTACTTTAATGTTTACTGTGATATATTTCGACTACTAAAAAATCACAGGAAATATTCTCGACAGCTCAATATTGCATAAATCTATTCATTGATAGTAAATACTTATCTAGTGACTAATACAACCACAACCTACCTATAATGCCGAAATACCCATTTAAATAGTCATGAATATTTTAATATTTGGTTTGAACCGCTTAACAAACTTCAGTTAGAAGCTTAATTATGTTACAATATTTTTGATTACAAATATTTATGTTGGTATTGTTATCATTATTATCTCCGCCGGGAGATACCGTATATGTTTTCAGTCGTGTAAAGGGTGTGTGTGTAACATTTCGGTATTTTCGTGTGGTTTTTTGTGTGCGTCATATCTCTAAAACGGCTGCACAGACATAATTGAAAATAACAGGAGTGTTAGGTATAACCCAATGACGAAATGATTAAGTTTTGGTGGCGGTCCATAGTAGGGTGGGGAAGTGAGGATGTGAGCAAGCGTCCTTGACAAGATACAGTGTTTCAAAAATTATTGAACTGATATGAATGAAATTTTTGTGAAAGTTTAACCAAGTTGCAAGAAAGAAATTATCAAGTGTTGGTGACGATCCAAATTCGGGTGTGAACTTGAGGGTCATTTAAATTTTAAGGTCCTGTGTATTTCTTGTGTTCAATATATCTCAAAAACAGCTGCACAGATCTAAATGACAGTTACAGGAATTGTTAGGTATGACCCAAAGATGAGGTGATTGAATTTTGGTGACGACCCGGAGTAGGGTGTTGATATGCGGACCATTTAAAAAAAACGTCCCTGACCAGATATTTCAAAACCTAATCAACTGATATGAATGAAACTTTAGTGAAAGTTTAACCAAGTTACAAAGACGAAATTATGAAGTGTTGGTAACGATTGAAATTCGGGTGTGCATTTGAGGGCCATTAGGATTTATTTTACAGAAAGAGATTGGCGGTGGGTGGATTATTGGTCTCTACTGAGTGCTCTTCTTCTTGTTATTATTAATATTATTATTATTATTATTATTATTATTATTATTATTATTATTATTATTATTATTATTACTGTAATATTATTATTAATAAGAATCTATAATGTTTATTTAGAGCAAATTAATTAAAAGCAAATGCTGTTTGGTATTATTATTTTTGTTCAAAATAATACATAATACCAAACAGCATTTGGTATTATGTATTATGTATTATTTTTGTTCAAAAAGATCCTTCCAAAAGTGTGAATGTTTCGTCTCACAGGAACTGGGAAAACGGTGACAGGAGCTCAGCTAGCATATTACTTTTCTGAAATAAACAAGAAGGTCCCACCAACAGGCAAAGGTACTCCACAGGTTCTTTACTGCGGGCCATCAAATAAGTCAGTCGATGTTGTTGCCGGTAGGTTAAATTTTGAAGCTTCTTCTATACCAGAACTGTGATTGAGGATTATATTGATATTGAAATCTGAACATCAAGAATAAAGCTTATCAGCGCAAACTTAATTTACATTTACATCGAGCTCTAAAATTCAAATTTATGGATATAGATTTTATATCAAATCCAGTACATTATCATATGAAGTAAGAATAAATATAAAAATAAATGTTAAAGTGGACCTAATCAAATTTGCAGAGGTGGATCCACTCCTGCTTTGACTGTCAAAATTGCTAATTGGTTGCCAGATATCTCCTCAACCTCTCACAATCAAACCAAAAGTCTGTATACAATTCTTTTTTTTGTTTTGTTAATAGGATATTTGAAGAAGTTTCCCGAGCTTCCAATTGTTCGAGTTTACAGCAAAATGATTGAGAAGAAAGATTTTCCCATTCCGTGGGAACAAAACATTGGCTCAAAGACTGGAACAAGGGATGTTTCCACAGACCCCAATCATGTAAACATTGCTCTCCACCATCTCATTAGGAGCAATAACAATTCACATGGTGCTGATATACGGAATATGGAGCGGATGTTTAATCGAACGCGAGGTGCTGATATACCTCCACAAGTGAGAAAGAAATATAAGGATTTGATATTACTCGCAAAGGTGAAACACTTTTTATTTTAAAATACAGCCTACACATAGTCATCTTTAGTAGAATACTACTTTTGAATGTATCACCACGATTTTAACGTTTTAAACATTCACTAACGAAAAAAACTGTAAACACTTTAATTTTCTCAGAATAATTGTGCATTTAATCATTGTTTTACTCGAGTTTCTTTACGTCTAGTTAAACTTTATATCTATACATTGATTTTATTTATAACCTCAGGAAGAAGAATTGAAGAAATACCGAATTATCCTGGCAACCTGCAATGCAGTTGGTGCAGAAGTATTCAAAAAATACTGCAGCATCATCCAGTGCATCATCGATGAAGCAGGCATGTGCAGTGAACCAGAGGCCCTTATTCCACTTGTTATGTGCTTGCCATATCAAGTTGTTCTGATCGGAGATCATAAGCAGTTACGGTAAGCAGTGTATAGACTGTAGGGAAAGGATGGGTATGAAACTTTACAGTCACCCAAGTGAATACAAATTTTATCAGATTCTGAATCCGATGCAAAAATGCTGATGTTATTGATGACTACCTTGCTATTTTTTTTTTTGTAACAAATGGAAGTTTGACAATATACCTTGAACTTAAATAGCGGACTCAGAACTCATTCAATGTCTACTTTTTCTGAACTTCAGTGCTTTGAATTACAATGAGTTAGTTACTGTACCTTGTGCTAGGGGGACGTTATTATTATCATTGATAACATTATCATGGGAATGTTTTCTTGTTATAATTTCTTTTTTCCTGATTTCGATTTTTCAGACCAATAATTACAGAGAAAAATGCAGAGGAATTTGGCATGGGTATTTCCCTCCTTGAACGATACGAGAAAAAAGCCTTAATGCTGACGTTACAATACAGAATGGTTAGTTTCTGTCATTTTAATCTTCATAAATCACAATTTCATAAGCATTCCTGTATTTGCAGCTATATCATTGCTACAGCTGTTTTATGATTTCTATTATTTTACTAAACAGAATTTTGAACTTTAAAATTATTTGTTCCGTTATGAATGATCAGAATGCTTTAACATAATAGTAATACAGGTAACTAACAAGTAGGTTACAAAATCTTAAAATTTTACACCACCACCTTTTTAGCAAATATTTAAAGGTATTGAAGATTGAGGGCAGTTCATAACAATCTTGTATGTATTGGAAATATAAAACTTACCCATTGATTTGCTGATGATAAATAAATAATCAACTAATAACTACGACCTTAAAACATACAATTTTTAAAGTAAAAACAGTAGGCCTACTACATTAAATCAAAATAATTAATAAAACTTGATATAAAATATTCTTCTTAGCACTCCAGTATCTGTGAATTTCCATCAAGTGCTTTCTATGACAACAAACTGGAGACTGCCGATTCTGTTAAAAACCGCAAGGGGCAAAATTTTACATTCTGGCCTGCTGGTCCATCTCGCCGGACAGTGTTCTGTCACGTGTATGGCAAGGAGGAAACATTGACAGTTAAGAGTGCAGAGGGCAACGAGCAAAGCAAGAGTAACCCACACGAGATTTCTCATGTTGTGAGTGGTATTGTTGTGAATAATCATTAAACATGCCGTTTCAGTGGAAATATTTGTGTAATTTTTGGTTCATTAAAAAAATAAAGACTGGGAGACTATTTATAAATAAGAGAGTCGAGGTTATGACTATTACTTGCACTCCATATGTACTTTTCTTATAAAATGGTAACCACAATTAATTAAGGTATATTATATTACAATTAAATCGTGAATAGTGCCGTTTTCAAATATTATTTTGGATCAGCTGAGCATACATTTTTGGCCTAATCAGTTAAATGTAATGTATGTTTATCTATTCTATATGGTTTTTTTTAGTAAATATTCAATGACATTAGCAAAATTGTTCGTAGACTTTACATAAAAACGCCAGTACTGTACTTTTTATCTGTTTAGTCGACCCCTACCATCATTTTCTAAGCATAGATTTGTTGTGTGTAAAAACCATTCAAATCATATTGATGCACTTAAAATTTGAGCACATTGTAGCTGGCAATTCAGTAACATGACCCCTCCAAACCAGAAACTTATTAAAAGAAGTTAGAAGTATGACGATGATTATAAATGTAATTGACTTTCAGGTCCGGATTGCTTGTAAACTCTTAGAAAAAGGCATTAAAGCAAACAATATCGTCATACTATCTCAGTACCGTCTGCAGTGCCAACGAATCAGAGATGCCCTTAAAGACTGTGGAAAAGAAGACATTCTAGTCTCGACTGTTGTTCTTAGCCAAGGTATTAACTTCGAACTTGCACAGATATGGTTTACAAACTAAGAATTTGTAGTCAATGACCCATATTTTTGTTTCAGTGCTGATGAAAAATTGTGATATGGACTTCTTTTAATAAATTATGTATTTCTATAGAATATAAATTAATATTTTTTCCACCCCAATCCACCCTTAAAGATTGTCGAAATAAACACGAATAATAATTACAGTAGTTGATTCACAATATTTATAAAATATTTATACTTATAATGTAGGTAGTGAATGGGATTATGTAATCATGTCAACTGTAAGGTCTTTGCCACGAGTCGAAATCGAAAAGAAACCAAGCATCCGTTGGATGAAGATGAACATGGGATTCATAATTGATGAGAACCAAATGAACGTAGCATTGACAAGGGCCAAACAGGGACTAATATTGATAGGTAAGTGAAGGGACTTATTCTGATACAGTAAAACCTCGAATAGAAGGCATGGGCTTTGGATGGGTTTCTTCTGGAGATGGGCTTCTTTTCGAGGCTACTTTGCAAACTAAGATCTTCAAATCGAGATGATGATGATGTATATGTATGTATGTATGTATGTATATATATATATATATATATACACATATACAGTACATATATATATACATACATATATATATGTGCGTGTGTATGTATGTGTATATAATATAATTTTCAATATTTGTTATATTTTGCTATTAGTGTAAACTTGGTTTCTGTTTTCATCATAGGTAACCAATACCTCCTTCAAGCTCACAAAACTTGGAATGAATTAATTAAAAAATACAAGGAAACAGGATGCCTCATTGAGCCTGCTTCAAATTTCAAACCTTAAAACCAGTGTTGAAGTAGAGCTACCGTAAATATCAATGGCAGCATTTCAGCTATGAAAAGATCTGCTGTGATAGGTAGACTGATTTTCCCAAGAGACGAGGGCAGATATCCAGATGTGGGGGGGGGGGGGGGGGGAAAGTAAAAGGGGCATCCACCCTCCAGCAGCAAAAAAAAGACAAATTGTGAAATAATTATGGTAAGAAATTAAATTGTCTAAACTCAAGAGCTCTCAAGCTGGGATTCAGATTGTAATAGAGTATTTGAGATCCATACTCACATTAGTGGTATACATCTATTCTTGCACTATTTATGTAACAGTAATTTACAGTGCAAGTACAATTAATAGTGTGCAGTTTTACAAAATTATTGTTTGCCTGATATTGTCAAGACAATAATGGTCTGTTTCATGGTGTATAATAATTGTTAGCATCATTTGTTATCTACCAATCGTGGTAAAAAAATAATGTTTACATTATGTACAGTACTTATCCAATGTTGACTGTATATGGAATTTAATGTTTTATGTAGTAGCAGCTGTAAGTGCACAGTTGTTTTAGTTCTAAATGAACTCTAATGTAGTTTAATGAAAGTAGAATTAAGATTACTGTAAAGAGCAATTGAAAATGTCAAATTTTATGAATAAGCTTTTATGGCGTGCGAATAGAAATGTAATCTAATGCTATCAGAATACACAGATCTTGGGGTGGATTGCTGTATGCAGTCTACGCCACCACAGTTGCCAAGAGTGATTGATTGTTTATACTCGATGCAGTCTTAGTAAAAACTAAAAGTCACTATTAGTCAGTTTATATCGCAGGTGGGCTATATGAATATATTAGGGTTGTAGCTCGCAACAACCCTATAAGTGCAGCCCAATATTTAGTGGTGTGCAGAACACTTGAACATCAACACATTAAAGTTGCTAATTTAATGAGGAATCAAGATCGGAATGGGTTTTAGGAGTATTTTTGTATTTTTTAAAACTTAAATTAAAGACAATCATTCATATTCATTATTTACAAAATCTATTTTTCCACTAACAAAAAATAAAATAAAATATAGGTAATGATTTGTGGAGCAATCATGAAATGCATTTGTGCTGATTCAAGATAAAGTTTTATCAAAATAATTATTTAAATTTTCAATAACATGTACTTTTGTGATGTATGCTTCTATTATTGGCGGTAACAGGAAACCTACACAATTATAACAGTAATTCGCCAATTGTGTATGGAAAAGAACGTCAAAACTTTAAACACTTCTTTAAAATCCTTGCAAAGCTACCAGGATTTTAAATATATTAAAAAGCCAAGAATGTATGATAGTCAAATATTAGGAAGAGCCATTGTGGTTCAATTTTGAACACTTGAAACACATTCTTATAATTCTGTAGTTGAACCCTATCTCTGTGCAGGTGGTCACTGTGACTAAAAACCATCACAAGATATTGGGCATGTTGGTGTGGTGTGCTGTAGTCAATTCATTTTGTAAATTTGTGGACAGTTTTACACATTTTGTGTGGTCACACTTATTGTTAAATTGGTAAACTTGTATTTATCTGTTTACTACAGTGTAGTCTGCCACTTCTACAAGTGAAGAATTGTTCAATAGATTTTGGAAATTTTTACTGGATATTGCACAATAAGAAGTTTCTTTTATAACCTTGGGGCACTACAGATAATTACCATTAATCTAGACAAAATATTTTTGTTCAAAAGTTATAAGCGATTATAGGGGAAAAAGTCTTTCAGTACCAGTACTTATACTATCTACTCAAAATAGCCTGATGACTTGAGCCTCTTTTGACTTGGTCCTTCCACATATATTTAGTTTCATTAACTATATTTACATGTGAAATATATATACAGTATATATCAATGTTCTTGGTAGAATTTGGATAATAAATATTATGCACAGGTCTAGTTGTAATGTCTAGCCAGGGAAATGTAGAAGGGTTACATACCTACTGTTAATGCTTTTGTAAGCTACAATTTCTCTTGAGTATCAGTAAATAAAGCACTACAAAAATAGATTTGCTCGGTATTGTTTTGTTTTTAATATACACAACCAGTTATTAAGAAATAGAATAAACTGCTGAACACCACTTCATGTTCATATACGTATATGGCGAGTTCATCACAGCTTAAAACTGGATCATTTGTCCCTGGAAGAGAAAGGAAAAAAAAAAAAAAGATTAATATTAACATTTAAATTTATTTAATCTATTTAATAAACATGTACTATACAGTATTGTACTGTACTACTGTGCAGGGTAAAGAGAATTCTTTTGCAGGGGAAGTTTAAAGAGGGGATCAGTCAGCCTGGCCACGCCTGCTCCAAATTATTGAAGACAAAGTAAATTGGGAACTTGACAATCGGTAAAATAATGTTCCCTCTACATTTAAGGTGGGAATTTTTATATAGCTTGTTTCAAACTTATTTTTTTAAAGATCGTCAGAGTGGCAAAAAAAAAAAATAAAATTTAGCTTTCTTATTTAGTAAATACAGTAGAACCACCTCTATTTTACGTAGGGCACGGGACTGCAGGCGTACGTAAATCGGGGGGGTTCTCAATCAATGTATGTTATGAACGAACGATGTTACCTAGGCCTACACCATACAACTGTATAGGCCTAGGCCTATGAATAAAACCATGCGTTTAATGTTTTTATTCATCACTTTACTATGCCATAATAAAGTGGTCAAGTAAAACCATGTGTAATTCATCATTTTATATCTTTTATTTAACTAAAGAACATGAAAATAATGTAAGAGAACCTATACGACAAAGGTATAACTTGGGAATTCCCCTTCATGGCTATTCTAAACAACAAAGCTGCGGTGTTGTCTGGGCCTGCTGAGACAAACTAAAACCACGTGCACTGCACTGGGAAAGCCAAACAATTAGCGTTCGTATGCAAAATCATGCCTACCCAGTTTACTCAACTCGTGTAGAAAATTTTAAAGTTTTTCACATGAAGCTAAGTAGGAAAGAACTTATTTTGAGCACTGACGGTAGTTGTTCATCTCGCTCAGTCCACATGGTTTTAGATTATAACAGCGAGTTGAGTGCAAATACTTTGTATAAGATGAAGGTAAAGGTAGTTTCATATTCATTATTGAACGTAGGGGAATGAGCTGTTAGCCCATTGTACTAAGCCTCGGTATTGTGTGGTAGGGTGGCCAGTTCCTTTCCTCGCAGCCATTTTTTCTTCCCCTGTAGTGAACCACCGTGTACCCATTATACTCCAAGGTAAAGAGAGACAAACGTAGATAAAGTGCCTTGCCGAAGGACAGACACAAGCAACTTGCACAGGGAGAGTTCTGAACCCATGACCTTAAGGTTGGGAGTTCCAGCCACAACCACTTCCACACTTTGCAGATGGTTTGTAGTATTGAAATAATAAACAGAACCTAGCATATCTTTTTGTACATTATGGTGGCCCTGAACAGGGCTGTTTCTTTTTTGGGGGATTTTGGTGACGCCATCATCCGTATGAGGCATACGTAAATCTGAGGGTTCCTATAACTGAGGTACGTAAAAGCGAGGTTCTACTGTAGTTTTGCCAAATACATTTAGATTGAGGAGAAAATAGAAAAGTTTTATTGGTGAGTGTTAACAGTGTAGTAATGGGATGGTTAAATGCTTTAAATTTATATTATTAGGAAGAAATATACATATCTTATTTTTGGCGACGAGGCATAATAAAAATAAAGAAAAACTTTCTTTTAATTTCAATTTTTTCATTGAGGCGGGTTTGGTAACTGTCCAAAATAAGATTCAATTTTTATTCAAAATCATCTTCATTGGCGAGCAGCGGGTTCTCTAAATAAGTCTTGCTTAAACTGTGAACTTTTATTTTAGAAGTCAAATTAAGAGCATATTAATCACTCACATTTAAAATTCAAATGGAATCGTTCTGTTTTGAAAAAAGAATGACAGGTATACCGTCAACAAAGTATTTAAAAATTGAGATCAAACTAAATAATTAATTTGATATTAATTAGCTTGATATTAATTACTTACCTTTCGCTTCTTGTCTCCACCCAGCTCGAAATGTTTGCATCTCTTGATGGCTAGTTGCTTTCTATATTTGCAATCTGTACATTCCATTCTAAGTGTAATCTTTTTTGTTGTCTTAGCCTAAAAATCAATATTATTATTCAGTAATAAATGGTAATAAGCAACTTAACTAATCAATACATTACATGCATATCAACTGTCAATAGTTTTTCGGAAAAAATAAATATTTTATTACATAGGCCTACATATAAATCTTTTAAAATTGTTATGTTGATTAGGTCCTGCCACATTTACTTCACTTTAATATTTGAACACACACACATAATGTAATTTGTGCAAAAAAATGTGTTACTGCATGTTTCGGCATTATAAGTAATATAACACATTGAAAGAAGCTTTGTTATTAAGGAGTCATTACGGTAATTACCTTTTTGTGAAACACAGGCTTGGTCTGACCACCATATCCACATTGCTTCCTGTCATAACGTCTCTTTCCTGCAACAAATGTAAAAAAAAAACATAAAAATGTTCTATTTAAAATTTCAGTGATGTACTTTGAGCAGAACTGAAAAACACTTGGTTATTCTTGTACTGCATCAAATACCAACAGATTGTGTGTGATTTTGTACATTGCAGTTAACACTCAGTTGGTTCTGTTACTTAACCCTGCATAGTTTACTGTAAATTATTTGTGCTTTTCATTATGCATGCATGATATGGCGTTTGGATATCTGTCCAACTGCAGAAGTACCAAACCACTTAGTGAGTAGGTATAGATCTGTTTAAATCTGTTTTGTATTTTTGAGATAAGAGGGATATTGAATACATGGTATATACTGTAAGGCAGGAAATCATCTACAAATAATTGAATGTTTGTTGTTAGATGTCCTTGTTGATGTCATTTATAAATATAAGGAATACAAGTTAATAAACCCTACAGTACCTTGAGCATACAACGAAGCTTTGCCAGCCTTGTACTGGGTCACCTTGTGGTTCATGTGCTTTCTGCATTTTTTGCAGAATGTGCGTCTTGTTTTTGGAACATTCACCTATTAGATAAATAAAAAATCATCATCATCATTCAAAGTATGTTATCTCAGCAGAATGCAAGGGTAAGACTGTTGAAGTCTGTGCAGTTAACTGAACGGTGGACAGATTTATCCTGCGAGACCAGGTGGTGCGATTAGGCGTAACTGATGTGCATTTATAATTAATTATGTGATTGTAATATGAGGTGTAGCATCAAGATGATAAAGAATTAAGAAAATGTGGCAGGAAATGTAATTAATACTAATAATTCCCATAAGGAAGTTAGGAGAGATTTGTTGGGGATAAAAAAAATATATATTTTAAGACGTTTATATCAAATGTTGGCCTGAATCGGATAGGCCTATATAAATTAGTAGGTTGGACGCCAATGAGATACGAGAAAATACCATCCTTAGGTCAGCTCATTTTTGAAAATGTTTTCATTGGGGAGGGGAACACCTCCCAAACCCTTCCTCCGCTAAGCCCTACGGCCATTGGATGGCACTACACGTCAAAGTACAACTCTCGTCCTGTCTCCTGGGAGCGTTGCCCTGCTGTCGAGGATATCCTAGCGCTGCCACTATTTTTCACAACTGCCACAAATATTTTCTAACTTGCAATGTCTTGGTTACAAAAAGTTCGCGGAATAGTATTTTTGGCAAAGGGATAATCATACCTAATGCATAATATAAATTGGTTATAGGCAAAATCATGTTTTAAGTCTAACCTAGCTTAGCTAGCTCTACCTAGCCTTCTCCCTATTTCTACTAGGCTACTACTAGGCAAGCCAAGGCTGGTAGTAGTCTAGTAGCCTAGTCATAGTGTACACAATGCACTTTAAAGAACCCAGTAGGCTACATCTTTTGAGATGAGTAGGGAGTTACCCCTGTTGTTGCCTCAGCGAGATATCCTGACTGAAGGCATATGCAGAGTAAAGAAGTAGAAGTAGTAATAATAGGGCCAAGGCCTAGGCCCCTAGGCCTAGAGGACTGAAGAAAGTCTGTTTCATAAATCAAAAAGCAGGTTTTTGTCGATTTAATATTTCACATAATCTGAGGCAATTTTGGCTTGAATTTGACCAATAAAGTGAAAACTAGGCCTACTGTAGTTCACCTAGTCAAACCTTAAGCATAGTACTAGGCTTATCTGCTCCTATAAGTAGGACTAGCCTAGGACAGCCTGGCCTAGTACTTAGCAGGCTTACTTTTAGCTAGGCTATGGCCAACTCAGGCCATAAAATTTGGAAAAAATTAGGTCGGCAAAAATCCAAAACCTTAAATTCTCTGGGGTCGGCAGTCTCAGCAAATTTTTACTACATAGGCCATAGTATAAACTACGATTCGACTGTACATCGTCATCTACAGATCGTGATTTTGTTGATTATCTCTATTAAATCAAAATGTTGTTGGTGAGAGAATAGCTGTACTGTACTTGTATAATTTTAATAGTGTAGTATAATATGTGTTTTACATAAGAAAATCACTGAAGAAATGTCGTTTTAGCATTATCTTTAGCATGGGAAATATAAATATATCCCTTCCATAAAGCTACAAGGCTGTCTGTGCTTCAAAACTGCACATTCATGTCCATGCGTATGTTCAGAATGAACTATTTGGGATTTTCCACACCTGTACTTGACAATAGTGAAGGCACGATGTGATCGTGTTTGTGTTTAAGCTGACATTTGGATTAGTAATAAACAACATTTTAAATATGATAATAATACTGTACAATGAAGACAAATAATATATTTAGAAAAGCATTACGATATACGCAGCACACGTGGCTTCAATAGACCGAATCAGCGGCTCGGGTCACATGACTTATAGTAGGTATTAGGATACTTTATTACCTACTCGACTACAGAGATATACTGTATATAGTCAAGGCATAACAACTCCTTCCCTGCTCCCTGCCCTGGTCAAGGTACGGTGCCTTCACAACGTGCATATTGCTCTAGTGGAGTCGTCGCTGGCAGAGGTAGTTTTTAGGCCTAGGCCCAAGTCAAGAATATTATTCATGGCAAATGCTATCGCCGCAAGAAAAAAAAAGACGAATCTCCCCATTCGTTGCAAGAGTATTATTTTACAGTTATTTTAAATCCAAAATTAAATCATAGGATGTTTGTAGTTACTGCCGAGGATAATTATCATCATATGACATATTATTACGTACCAACTACTCCTATTATCACCAGCCCGTTTCACAAGTTTGGTTGAGCAATCATTACAGTTGAGGGTTATTTTCTACTTTAATTACCTACAGTACTCGACTACAGAGATATATAGTTGAGGCATAACAACTCCCTCCCTGCTCCAAGCCTGGGTGAAGGCTGCACACTCACAGTGCAGCCTAGGCCTATAGGCCTATATATGTAGCCTACCTTAGTACACTAGCAGCATTCCAGAGCCTAAATAAAATACATGAAGATTGCAAAGGTATAAATCACACATAAAAACATAGGCCTACTGCCTTACTTTACTTTGGGTCGCTGTCTAAAAAAACATATCTGCCTCAATATAATGTGTTTAATGAGCACACATGGTTTACATAGTTGATGTATACATTTACTTAGCACTAAGCCTATATGTCAATAGCTGGAGTTGCCGATTCGGTCTATTGGGCAATGTTTTAGGCGACTGGCTAGCATCACTCTTAGCCTACGAAACGACTAGGCCTGGCCAGGCGAGAAAGACAAGCACACATTGTATGTAGGCCTAGGCCTATGGTGGTATGCCTATTATTTAAAATAATTATTGTACAAACAAATCTGTTTACGAACAACCAATTTCCTTGGTTTGACGACGTACATTAAATTTATTTTCTGCTATAGGCTGTTTCAGTCAAAGTTTTTTGACTTTCCAAGCAGTATTTTGAAGCAAAGGACTCTAGGTCTAGGCGCGGCCTAGGTAGGTCGGCCGGCAAAAAGTTGCCTTCCTTTGGCAATTCTGGCTCGGCAATGGGCTGCCAACTATGGCAACACCATTTCTTAGCAAAGGTAGCAGGATTTAGCTATAAATTACCGATACAATACTAACAAAAACTAAAAATGGCCATGTAAATAAATTCTTCCAATATTTATTATTACTAAAAAGCAACAAATGGGTGTATTTTCCACTTGTGTGTAACAAGATGATTAGATATAATACACACATTAATATTAAATTGCACCAACCATTTTGGCGTCCGAGTCAGAAAGGGTGACTGGCGAACGCTGGAGGCGCACTTTCGCGTCAACTTTGGCTATATCGCGTCCATGTTGGCTATATTGCATCACTTTTGGCTATTTCGCGTCAACTTTGGTTACTTTGTGTCAAATCTGTCGATTTCCAGCTGATAACTTCAATTATAATCCTATTTTCAATTATTGAATAGGCCTATTTGTACGAGAAATATTTGTTCTTGCCAATTATTATATACACAAATAATACCATTATTTCTGTGTGTGTCATCTTGAATCGTTTTCATGATTTATAATTTTATTGAAATTTCATTCCATTTCATTACATCTTAGTTTTTATCAACTAAGATGACTTTCTTTAATGAATGAGATTGAAATTTTGTAAAACAAATGAGATATAGGGCCTACCATTCGTACTAAAAAAGTATAATGTACATTAACAATACACAAGGGCGATTTAGGCCCACTTCCCCCCCCCCCGTTTTTTTTTGGAAAGCGAAAAAAAAACAAACAAAAGAAAAGAGAAAGAAAAAGAAAAAAATTATCGCCCAAAGTTCCCCATAGGTTATTTTCGGGTGTCTAGAACACCACATTTTCGCGGGGACATGCCCCGGACCCCTAGCGTAATGTTATCTCGATCGGCCCATACTTTAGCTCCCAACTTTCGGACATCTCTGGATCCGCCCCTGATAAAAACTGTAAGCAGCCGGCCGTCGCATATGAAACTGGGTGGAGACAGTCTTGGTGACGACGGAGACAATACCGGTAATGATATTGATTGTTGGTTGAGTTTAGGTAAGAAGAGTAAGAAGTAAACTGGACTCGTGAATAAAACTGATAACAATTAACGTTATTCGACTTAAAATGTCATTTGTCATTCAGTATAGATTAATCTAAACTATCTAATTAATGGTGGGAGGCACAGGCGATTAGCGATTTCGAAAAAAAAAATCATTACCAGAGAAAAGTCTCCGGAGGAAAAAAAATTGATAGGCCTATGTTGTAGAACTGATTTTTCTAAGTCAGAAAAAAGTTGTTTGGACGAAAAACTGGGGAATGGTGAAGGAGATACAATTTTTGAATATTTAAAAACTGGGGGTAAAGTAGTTTTTGATCAAACTAGTTTTTTCTGTCTTAGAAAAATCAGTTAACAACATATCAGTTTTTTCCCCCTCCGGAGCCTGACTTTAACATATATCAATCAAGAAAAACAACTGAAGATAGCATGCAAAGGTGCGAGTCTAGCAAAGGAATGGAAAAGGCTGAACTGCCGGAAATAAGAGAGAATGATTTCCAACAGGAAAGCCTAGTAAGAAGTGTTTACTAATTAAACAAATGAGTGAAAACCAACCAAGGCTCTTAAGAATTTTTATTTTACTTAATTATTTATACTGCCTTAAAGTGATAACACTTTCAGTGAGCAGCACTCTCTCACAGTGGATGAAGGCCATTGTTAACAATATACCCAGTACTGTAATAGGTGGGATTGTTCTCGTCTGTTTGCCCTCAATACTCTAAATTGCCTAGTTTTATAATTAACAACAATTGCGATGCTTTACAAAAGACGTTCTTCGAATTGTTTATGTCAATTATTATTGACTTTACGTCGCATCTGGTCCCATACCTTTTACCTGTTATTGTTTGCAAACCTCACTAGACTTACTAATCTTGTATCGATTTCTTGGAATGAGACGGACTTTATGAACGCTGCGGAGACATCTGAACTTTCTACACAGAGAATGGAAATTTCTACCACTGTCAGTAGTTGATACAACGGCCTTATACACATCTAGATGTGTATAAGAGGGGGGGGGGGGGGGGGAATTTCATAAGGTCAGTATGCGAGCGAAACGAATATCTTGGCTGGGGGCCAGGGAGCCGCCAAG